TTCCCTCCAGACCATTCTCCTTCTCTCTCCTATGGGCAGCTGCTAGTGCTTCCCCTAGCCTGGGGGACAGGCCTCTGGAGACTAACACTCTACTCTCACCAAGATTGGCAGTGCCACGGTGGGCACCAGGAGATATTTCCCCCCTCACCACATAGACTCATGATCATTGCTGGGCACCACAAGATTTAGGGCTGAAAATGTTCTTTCCCTCGGAACACGTGGAGATCCTTTGACCGAGCTCAAATGCGCTTCAGTCAGATCCTTCTTTTTTTTTTTATTTTTTTTTATTAACATATAATGTATTATCTGCCCCAGGGGTACGGGTCTGTGAATCGCCAGGTTTACACTTCACAGCACTCACCATAGCACATACATTCCCCAGTGTCCATAACCCAACTACCCTCTCCCTACCTCCCTACCCCCGGCAACCCTCAGTTTGTTTTGCGAGGTTAAGAGTCTCTTATGGTTTGTCTCCCTCCCGATCCCATCTTGTTTCATTTATTCCTTTCCTACCCACCAAACTCTTCACATTGCCTCTCAACTTCCTCAGATCAGGGAGATCATATGATAATTGTCTTTCTCTGATTGACTTATTTCGCTAAGCATAATACCCTCTAGTTCTATCCACATCGTTGCAAATGGCAAGATTTCATTTCTTTTGATGGCCGCATAGTATTCCATTGTATATATATGCCACATCTTCTTTATCCATTCATCTGTTGGTGGACATCTAGGTTCTTTCCATAGTTTGGCTATTGTGGACATTGCTGCTATAAACATTTGGGTGCATGGGCCCCTTTGGATCACCATATTTGTATCTTTAGGGTAAATACCCAGTAGTGCGATTGCTGGGTCATAGGGTAGCTCTATTTTCAACTTTTTGAGGAATCTCCCTGCTGTTTTCCAGAGCGGTTGCACCAGCTTGCATTCCCACCAACAGTGTAGGAGGGTTCCCCTCTCTCCGCATCCTCGCCAGCATCTATCATTCCCTGACTTGTTAATTTTAGCCATTCCAGTCAGATCCTTCTTAAGAAAAGCAGGAAACTCATCCCCATGGATTTGTGCTTTGAGAATTCCCTTGGCAGGAAGCAGCCAGTAAGACCTCCAAGGGGCACTGCAGAGTGAGAAGGTGATGGGCAGAAAAGCAGAAACAGAAGCCATTCTCTACATTACCTACTCACCCTTCTGCTTCAGTCACGGCTCCTCCCTTCCAGACCTTGCATAGTGTTAGGTTTCTCTCTCTCTCTCCCATCTCTCTCTTTTTTTCTTTTTTCCCAGCTTCTAGGATTTTATTACAATGAGTTTTTAAAAAACAAGCAATCCACCAGTGTGGTGGTGAGGGTTGAGGAAAAGGGGAGGGGAAAGGAGGAGAAAGGAATTCTGCTCTACTGATAACCAAAGCTGTCCTAGCACGTTCTCCTTGTAAACCATTAGGAAAAGAATCCTTGTGGGCACCTCAGTTGGTTGAACATTGGACTCTTGATTTTTGGCTCAGATCAGGATCTTCTGAGATCCAGCCCCGAGTCCAGTTCTGTGCTCAGCGGGGAGTCTGCTAGAGATTCTCTCTCTCCTCCCCCTCTGCCACCCACCCACATCCCCACTCCCATGCGAGCGCTCTCCCTCTCAATAAATAAATAAATAAAATTAATCCTTGTTTTACTAGGGAAAATTTGTGGAGACTACAGAAAAGAGGAAGGAAAGAAAAGTGATCACTCACAGGAAGGAGAGAAAAATGGGTATTCTCTCCAGGAAAAACCTTGTTGTCTTTTTTTTTTTTTTAACTTGGATCACCAAGAGAAGAATGTTTTGAGGGTGCATACAGTGACCCATATCCCTATGCTCCGACCCCCACAAGAGACCTGACTTGAGCCACCGTAGTCACTTATACATTCATTCAACAAACACTGTTGCGTTGTGATGTACCAGGCACTGAGTTATGTTCTGAGGGTGGTGGCAGACAACAGGAACAGCCCTGGCCCCCCACAGACCTCTCAGTGGTAGAAGAGACAGGTCATTAGCCAGTCACAGCCACCACACCGTCCTTACCATCCAAGAGCTGACCTCTGTGCTAAGCACTTTTTTTTTTTCAGCATAACAGTATTCCTTGTTTTTGCATCACACCCAGTGCTCCATGCTAAGCACTTTTTAAAAAAATATTTATTTATTTATTTGAGAGAGAGAGTGTGTGCATGCCCACGCGTGGGCAGCATGTAAGCAGACTCCCTGCTGAGCGAGGAGCCCCATGCAGAGCTCAGTCCCATGACTCTGAGATCGTGACTTAAGCTGAAACCAAGAGTCCAACTTTTAACCTACTGAGCCACCCAGCCCCCCTTGTGCTAAACACTTTTAATTATCATTTTATTTGTTCTTTATAACCCTGCGAGGAGGTCTTATCCTCAACCGCATCACACAGATTGAGGGAACTTAGGTTAAAAAAAAAAAGTTTAAATATTTGGACAAGGGTCTATTGCGTTAGTGAGGTCTGGACCCTGCTGTGGGTCTGGACCCACAAAGTCTGACTCTGGAGTGGGGTGAGGATTAGGACAGTGATGCCCCGGGAGATGCTGTGTGGTCAGAGAAGAGCTCCTGAGGAAGTGAGGTGTACCTGGAAACACAAGACAGAAATACCAAATTCCACTCTTTCCTCCAGATCATCCACCAGACTCCAGCGTCCCCCCTTTCAGGATTCCCACCCTATTTTTTGCCCCTAGCGTGGTTCTTCAAGACCCTACATCTGCCATTCCTACATGCCTTACTTTTCAGCCTTTCTATCCTGCATGTTTCCCCATCAACCCTTCTCAGACTCCCTCGGGCACTCAAGCTTCTTACCCAAGACCCTGCTCTGTCTCATTCTCTCAGGAGCATCTCGGAAATTCCGCTCCTCTCCTCACCCCTTAAATTTTCAAGTTTAGCCCAGAAGTCTGGTTTTCCCGGCACCAAATATTAATCACAGTTCAGGCCCAAACTGCCATGCTCAGGTTTCCCCAGATTCCTGGGAGGGTGGGGCAGGGACGTGATTGAGCTGGAATCTGGGACTTTTCAGCTCCTGGCCACCCCAGAAAGACAGGGCAGGAGCCAGGCCTGAGGAAACATGACGAACTAGGCACCTCTACCAAATTAAGGGACAGACCAAGCCTTCTCCCCGTGTGTAATTGGCTTTCATTCCAGAGGGTCTGCTTTCCCTCCTCCCTCAACGGCCCTGGGTTCAAAGGGCAAAGGGAAGGTGAATGCTGATCCCAGGGAGCAGATCCCAGAGCTGTCCATCACTCCTCACGTCTGTCTCTCCTTAGCTCTGCCCCGCCTGGGGAGGCTGGGGAACACCTGGCAGGTGGCAAGCTTGCATCCACCTGCCGCAGTGGAAGCCAGCAGGAGACACACCCAGACTGTTAGCCTCACACACTTCCTCTTCCAGAGGATTCCTCTTTCGGGAATTCTAACCTCAGGGAACTCCCAGAGTCTGAGGAGGAGGAGGAGGAGCATGTGGGAGGTCACTCGAGGGCTCCTTCTAGGGAAAAGCCTAATGAGGGTGCAGAAAGGACTTTCAACAAGGTCAGCTCTTCCTCCGAAAGCTGCAGAAGTCGTCAGAGCCGTGGCAGCAAACGCTTACACTGTGCTTACTGTGTGTGACACCCGACTCAAGGGTGCTTGATAGACTCGAACTCATTTGGGTCCTGCTGCTCATCTGGTGATTTGGAGAGCATTTTAATTTACAAACTCTGTTTTATGATCGCATCATTCATGGATTCCACACACGGAGCATCTACTGTATCCCACTGAGGACACAAGTTTCTTCTCTTCAAGCATGAAGGATGTAGTGGGAAAGACAGAAATGAAAAGAACCGTCCATTAGAGAGGAATAAGCGCTTTCAGAAAGGGAAACCCATGCTGCGGGAATATCGTGGAGAGTTACTTAATGCAAACTGAAGTGTGTGGGGGTAGGGGTTATCAGAGGAGGCTTCCAGGTGGTGGTGACCCCTTGACTGAGTCTTCAAGGACACGTAGGAGTTAGTCAGGGGCAGGGAAGGGAAGCCATGCTAAAGAGAGGCACGGAGGTGCCTGGGAATGGAAAGTCTGGGAAACACATGTTGGTGGATGTGGGCACTTTGGAAGTGAGGGGGTGGGGGTGGGGCAGAAAGGCATGAGGCAAGATCACGAGATCCTCAGAGTTTACACTTCATGAGCTGTGTCAGAGGAGCCTCGCGGTGCCGGTCCCCAGCTGTCCTTTGAGCCACCCTGGCTGAGGCCACGTGGAGTAACCACTGTCCAGATAACCACTAACCTACTTTCCGACAGTATGAATCAGTTTGGGTTTCCTAGTATATTATGTAAAGAGCATCACATAATATACGGTATTTTTTGGTCTGGCTTCTTTAACTCAGTATAATTCATCCATGAGATTCATTCATCGTATTACAGGTATGAAAAGTTCATTTCTTGGGGCGCCTGAGTGGCTCAGTCAGATAAGCTGATCTGCCTTCAGCTCAGATCATGATCCTGCAGTCCTGGGATCAAGTCCCGCATCAGGATCCCAGCTCAGTGGAGATCCTGCTTCTCCCTCTGCCTGCTGCTCCTGCTGCTTGTGCTTTCTCTCTCTCTCTCTCTCTCTCTCGCTCTATCTCAAATAAATAAATAAAATCTTTAAAAAAAGAAAAAGAGAAGTTCATTTCTTGTTCCTGTTGAGCAGTATCCATTATAGGGATATACCACAATTTCTTTATTTACTTACCTTCTAATGGACATTGGGCTGTTTCCGGTTTCAAATGATTGCAAATAAAGCTGCTATGAACATTTGTGTAAAGTTTTTGTATGGACATATACTTTCTTTTCTCTTGAGTAAATGCCATAGAGTGAAATGGCTGTTCATGTTGTAGGTACTAGTTTACATTTTGGTGAAGTTGCTGTTCAAATCTTATGCTGTTTTTGAATTGAATTGTTTCTGTTCTTTTTTTTTTTTTTTAAATACATATCCTTTACTGTCCTCCTGTAAGGTCATGGCATAAGACAATCCGGGATGCTTCACGGATTTGCCTGTCATCCTTGCACAAGGGCCATGCTAATCTTCTCTGCATCATTCCAATTTTAGTGTAGATGCTGCTGAAGTGAGTGCAAATTTTTCCTTAATATAAAGTTTAATATAAAGTTTATATTTTCTGGACACAAGTCTTTTATTAGATATATACTTTGCAAATATCTTCTTCCATTCTGTGGCTAGGCTTTACATTCTCTTATTAACAGTGGCTTCTGAAAAGCAGATGTTTTTAATTTTGGCAAAATCCTGTTTATCAACTTGTTCTTCTACGGATTGTGCTCTTGTCATCATAGCTATGGAGTCTTTTGCTTAATCGAAAATCCCACCAAGACTTCATCTTTTCTTCTAAAAGTTTCATAACTTTAAGTCATACACTTAAATCTATGATCCATTTTTGTGTGTGATGTGCGGTAAGTATGAAAATTCATTTTTTAAAAAATACAGATATCCAGTTGTTACAGCACCATTTGCTGAAAAGACTATCCTTTCTTCACTAAATGCCTTTATGTCTTTGTCAAAAATCAGTTATCCATACATGTGCAGGTCTATTTCTAGACATCTTATTCTGTTTCCCTGATCTATTTATCATTCCTTACTGTCTTGATTACTATAGCTTTGTGATATGTCTTGAAATCAGAACACATTAGCCCTCCAAATTTATTCTTCCTTTTTCAAAGCTGTTTTGGCTAATCTCAGTCTTTTGAGTTTCTATACAAATTTTAACATAAACTTGCCAATTTTTACAAAAAGCATCTGTTGGAATTTTTATTAATATTCATTGAATCTATAGATCAATTTGGGGAGAATTGCTACATTGACAACACTGAGTGTGATTCGCAAACAAGGTACATCTTTCCTTTTACCTGGATCTTCTTTAATCTCTCTCAGCAATGTTTCCTAATTTTTACTGCACAGTTTTTCATATTCTTTATCAAAGTAAAACTTATATATTTCACATCTTTTATGCTATTGTAAATTGTAGTTTCCAACTTGAATTTCTGATTGTTCATTGCTGGTAAACAGAAACACAATTGATTTTTGTACCTTAAGAAACACAATTTTTTGTATATTAATCTTGTATTCTGCAGTCCTGCTTAACTCGCTTACTAGCTCTAGGAACCTTTTTGTAGATTTTATAGAATTATCTACATAGACTATGAGTAAGGCAGTTTTACATCTCCCTTTCCAATTTGGATGTCTTTTATTTTATTTATTTATGTTTTTGCCTTATTACAATGGCTAGATTCTCAAATAAAATGGTAAATACAGGTGATAAGAATGAATATCCTTGTATTGTTTCTGATATTAAGGAGAAAGTATTCAGGCTTTTTTCATTAAGTATGATGTTCGCTATAGGTTTTTCATAGGTGCCCTTAGCAAACTGAGGAAATTCTTTGCTAACATAGGCATCTGGTGCTATAAATTTCACCCTAAGTATTGCTTTAGTAACATTCTGTGAAGTTTGATATGTGGTGTTTCTGTATTCATTCAGTTCAAAATACTTTTTAATTTCTCTTTTGATTTATTCTTTGATCCAAGGTGTTTTGTTTTGTTTTTTAAGAAGTACATCATTTAGTTTCCAAATATTTGGGGAATCTTCAGATATCATTTTCCTGCTGAATTCTAATTGAGTTCCATTGTGGTTAGAAAACGTGTGTGTTTGTGTGTGTGTGTGTAATCTTCAATTTGCTTTTGACTAGTGTTACCATGGTGTATCTGTAGGCATTTTCTGCATTGTTTTTTACATTTAACTTATTTGTGTGTTGAAAGTGTGTTCTCTATGGACAGCATGTGTGTTTAAAGTGTGTGTGTGTGTGTCTCTCTCTCTCTTTTGTTTAATCCAAGCTGATGAGTTTTGCTCTTTAATTGGGGTGGTTTACATTTCATGTGATTATTGACGTGACATGTGACTATTGATGGTTAGGTGTAAGTCTATCCTCCAGCTATTTCTTTTATTTGTACCATCTGTTTGTTAATGCTTCCCCCCCTCTTTTTCTGCCTTCTTTTGATTTCATTGACTTTATTATTATTATTCCATTTTATCTTCTTTGTTGACTTATTATATGTGACTTTTTGTTTTGTTGTGTTGTGTTAGTGGTTGCCCTAGAGCTTAGTAAATATCTTTGAGTCATTACAGTCTTCCTTCAAACCTGGTATCTGGTATCAGATACCACTTCATGTAAAGTATAGAACTGTGTAATAGCATATTTCCATTTCTCCCCTCCCAGTCTTTATGCTATCATTGCCGTATTTTACTTGCACTGTGTTACGAACTCCAAAATATATTACTATTTTTAAATTTTTTATTTATTTTTTAATTCTTTAAAAGATTTTATTTATTTGACAGAGAGAGAGAGAGAGAGATCACAAGTAGGTAGAGAGGCAGGCAGAGAGAGAGGGGGAAGCAGGCTCCCTGTCGAGCAGAAAGCCCCATGCAGGGCTCGATCCCAGGACTCTGGGATCATGACCTGAGCCGAAGACAGAGGCTTTAACTCACTGAGCCATCCCGGTGCCCCTATTACTGCTATTTTTTAAAAGATTTTACTCATTTATTTATTTGAGAGCTAGACAGTGAGCATGAGCAGAGGGAGGGGCAGAGGCGGAGGGAGAAGCAGACTCCCTGCTGAGCAGGGAGCCTGACATGGGGCTTGATCCTAGGACCCTGGATATGACCTGAGCGGAAGACAAACACTTAACTGACTGAGCCACCCACATTCCCCACATTATTGCTATTTTTAAACATTTAGTGTTTAAATAGATTCTTAAAAGAAATAATCTGATACATTTATTTATGTAATACCACTTCCAGTGTTCTTTGTTTCTTTGTGTACAATCAGATTTCCACCTGATATCATTTTTCTCCTGCCTAAAAGACTTTAAGAGTTTTGTAATGCAGGTCTTCTGCCCAAGAATTCTTTCAACTTTTGTTATGTCTAAAAAAGGCTTTCTTCTACCTTCATTTTTGAAAGATATTTTCAGTGAGTATAGAATTCTAGATTGACACATGGTTTGATTTTTTTCTTTTTTCCTTTTGGTATTTTAAAGATAATACTCCCCTGTCACTTGCATTCTTTCTAAGGAGTGTTCTGTTATCATCTTTATCTTTGTTCCTCTGTACATAGTGTGTCTTTTGTCCACCTGGCTGCTTCTAAGATAACGTTTGATTATGATTTGCCTTGGTGTCATTTTATTGCTAAGAATGTGTGTTCCATTGGATTGTGCTATTCCCATTTTGCTGTCTAATCTCCCAAATCATGTTGATAATCAGGTAGGACTGACTTAACCAAGAAAGCCATGTATATAACAATTAAAAAAAGGGCATATACTTCAACTCAGGATTTCAAAAGGACTTGTGTGACTGAACTACCCAGTGGAAAGAGAACTATATGCCCCTTACCAGTTAATTGGACCAGGTAAGCATTCTTTTTTTTTTTTAAGATTTTATTTATTTATTTGACACAGAGAGAGAGAGATCACAAGTAGGCAGAGCAGCAGGCAGAGACAGAGGGGGAAGTAGGCTCCCTGCTGAGCGGAGAGCCCTATTCGGGTCTCCATCCCAGGACTCTGAGCCGAAGGCAGAGGCCCAACCCACTAAGCCACCCAGATGCCCCAAGGGTAAGCATTCTTAATAGCCAAAAATGTTGATTGCTTCTTCTGCTATTTTCTCTGTGGCAGTTTTAAAACATACCCTTGCCCCAGATTCTTTGACATTCTTCCCACTGAGAAGTGAGATCTGTATCTCCTGTCCTTGATTCTGGGTTCTGTGACCACTTGACTAGTTGTTTACAGCTGAAGCAACACTGCCCATTTCTGGGCTCAGACTTGAAGACCCTGTCAGTTTCTTTTTCTTTCTTAAGATGCTTGTTCTTTGATCCCATCCACTTTGCCATAAGTAACCCCAAATTGCCTGGAGAAGGGCCCACATGGAGAGAAGGCTCATAGCCCATCACCTTGGCTGAGCTCCCAGACAGTCGGCACCAGCCATATGAGTAACACATTTTAAAAGCTGATCTGCCAGCCCCAATCTAGCTGTTACAGCTAGTATGGTGTGGCACAGAAATGATCCGTCTACAGCGAGTCCTGCCCAAAGTACAGATTTGTAAGCAAAATGGATGCTTGTTGTTTTAAGTTTCTATGTTCTTATCTGATTTGTTACATAGGGATAGATAAACAGAATGTCTTCCTTAAAGAGCTGGATTCCTAAACCTTTGTCTCAGACAAGTCGCTTCTGCTCTGATCTACTGTGGTTTCCTCTTTTCCAACTTCTAAGCTTTTGTATGACCCAAGGTGTCCTGCTCTCTTTTCCTTCTGTACCAGGGTAATCCTGTCCTTCTAGAGAATTTACACCGCTATTTGTAGAAAGCACTTGGTCTTCAAATTTGTATGTGTTCAAAGTGTATTGTAATTATAGCTCTATTAACAGGTTTCTTAAGAAGCTCTGATTCCCTCCGTTACACTCCATGGGCCCTGTGTGTTGATCATTGTCTCTTGCTAGTCTTCTAACCTCCGCACTCTGCTTTGGCATCTATTTTCTCTTCCTAAGCAATGTTCTATTTACTGGCTGCAATCTCTACCCACGCTAGCTTTTTAAACTCCCATCTAGTATAGGAGTCCTTACTAAAAGCTTCTGCCACTGAATCAGTGAGGGTTCCCTCACAAGCAGTTATTTGAATACAGAGGGTTTAATATATGTTAATACATACAAAGATCCTAACTAGATACCTGTATTAGTCAGGTCTCTCCAGAGAAACAGAACCCAAACATCTTAATATGCATAAATAGATTTATTTCAAGGGACTGACTTATGCAGTTGTGGGGGCTAGCAGATCTGAATTCTGTAGAGCAGGTCAGCAGGCTAGAAATTCTCCAGCAAGAGCTAATGTTGCAGTCTTGAAGCAGATTTTCTTCTTCCTCCAGGAAACCTCAGTTTTTGCTTCTCAGTTTTTGTCTTTCATCTGAGTGGATGAGGACCACCCACATTATGGAACTCTTATCTAAAAAGAACTGATGGTGCATGTTTGGCACATTTACAACATATCCCACCAGCAACTCCTGGATTGGTGTACATGAAATAACTGGG